TGATCCAAAAAGCTGCTGCAGTAATCCAGTCGGGATGTTATGAAGGCATGGATCAGAGTTTCAGCAGCGGTCGATGAGAGGGAGGGTCTGATGCGGGCGATGTTCTTTAAATGGAAGACCTGGTTGACGTGAGGGAGGAAAGTGAGGGTGGGGTCGAGGATGATGCCAAGGTTACGGATGTGAGTGGAGGGGTTGACTATGGAGCATGTAGCAAGCAAGCTTCTGTGAAATGAATTTGTTATTTTGAATTTATTACAATACAATTGCAGACAGTATTCTCTTGGTACACAACCAATTCATTTATTCCAAATACATGTATACTGTTTTAATAATAGAAAACCCTCAAATAAATGGTCACTACACACACTCTATGTACTTCATTAAAAACATTTTAACCCAAAAGAATACAGTTTTTAATCAAAACTAATGCTTTTAACTCATGAAGTCCAACATATTGTATAATACACACAGTACACATGTAGTATGTGCCAGTATTGTGTATTTGGTAGTAATAAGGCAGGTCATTTGTTTGACTTAATGTTCTGAATATACTAAATGCATTTTATTTGCATTGATTATGTTTTGAGTTTTTCATACAAAACATTTGTGTTTTTGTGGAGGGTGCATCATCTAGGAAGTTTGATTTGGAATTATTAAAAAGTATTCAGATAGTATTAAATGTTTTGGTAATGTGTTGAACTTGAATGACTCTTTTGTTAGATGTATGTTTACCTTGTGGGCTCCAGGCAGCAGCTCACCTGGAGGTTTCTTCCTGAGCACAAAGCTGTCTGAGGGGGTCTGGATCAGGAAGGTTGGGTTGGACTGACCAGCGCTGCGAAGACAACAGGAAACAGTTAGCACTTATCAGTTAGCATTTACACTACCAGCCTCTACCTGCTCTTTAAAGTTGCAGAGAAACAAACTGTATTCACCTGTACTGTCTGACAGTCAGTGTGTCCTCATTTGACACCCTTGACTCGACGGACAGATATTTTTGTAGTCTGCTAACACTGAATGCGTGTTGCAGTCGGACAGGAGTTGTGAGCTCCTCCATGTTTGTTAGTTAGATTTGATTAATCATTTCCAGCTGTATCGCTCAGATAACTTTCGCACTGTTGTTAGTCAGTCGGACCCTTTGCGCATGCGCACACCTACGTCGTGTCTTCTTTATTTAACATCTTTAACGGAAAAAGGCATATATATTTTTTTCGTAATATCTAATAGAAATTGAGCAGTTTAAAAATGCAGAATATTCTAATAGTCATCCTATTGCGTTTAAAACAGTTGAAATAACCCAATAATGTAGGAACATTTTGAGGTAATTATATTAGTTTCTACACGGACAGTATTTACGGGAGCACGCAGTCTGATTTCAGTTGTGAAGACGTGTACTTTCCGAGCAGATTTATCCTATAGACAGTCAGTTTACCTCTTATATTACTGAAAATACTTCCTATATTTCATTCGCGTTGTTAAGGGACATTTGTTACCGTAATGGCGACTGTGGAGGAGCTGAAGCTGCGCGTGAGGGAGCTGGAGAATGAATTAATAAAGTGTAAGCAGAAACAGAGTGCCATGGATAATGCTCACAACCAGGAGCAGCACAGACCCAAGATTGACAAGATGAGTTCAGAAGTGGTGGATTCAAACCCATACAGGTACTTTTATATTGTATTATTTCATCTTTTGACAGGATTTTCAGTCTGCTTACTGAGAGACTACGCCTTATGACTCACTCATCCCATATGGTGGTTCTTCACAGAGGATAACCAGCTGTGTTTTTATTATTGCAGTCGTCTGATGGCTTTGAAGAGGATGGGCATCGTGAAGGATTATGAGGTATGATGTAAGGGTTGCTGCAATACAGCACCACGTTTTTATTTTGCTGCTCTATCCCCTACAGAAGGGATCGATACCACAACCATACGTTTTTACCTAACGGTTTTTTCAGTTTTCCACCTATGCCTGCTTCCTTTTATAGCAGAGCTCCTGTTGTGAAATAATGTTTTTTAAGCATTGCAAATATTAAATCATCACCTCAAATGTGTTGACAGAAAATCCGGACCTTCACAGTGGCAGTGGTTGGTGTCGGGGGGGTGGGCAGTGTGACAGCTGAAATGCTCACTAGATGTGGCATCGGTAAGGTAATGCAAACCCTTTCTTATTTATTCCACATTTACCTGGTCAGTAGTCTTCATGTACTCACCCTAACCTCTCCATCCCAGCTGATCCTCTTTGACTACGATAAAGTGGAGCTGGCCAACATGAACAGACTGTTCTTCCAGCCTCACCAGGCCGGCCTCAGTAAGGTGGAAGCAGCAGAACACACACTCAGGTACACTACTGTCTGAGTCATCCACTTTTCCACCAAAATAAAGACACGTTGGTTACATTTGAACTTAATCTACCCAACAGGAACATCAACCCAGACGTGTCATTCGAGACCCACAACTATAATATCACCACCATGGATAATTTTGCACATTTCATGGAGCGCATCAGGTGAGGATTTCTTCTCTCTTGTTGTATTGTTCTCACCCCTCAGAGGTAAATTCATTCACAACAACCTACTGTGTCCTCTCAGTTTTGGAGGGCTGGAAGAAGGGAAGCCGGTGGATTTGATCCTGAGCTGCGTGGACAACTTTGAGGCTAGAATGGCGATAAATACAGTAAGTGCAAGATAAAAAAAAACCTCATGTTAAACAGTTTTTTTTTGTACCTTTTTACTCGTGCCGACTGTATTCATTTTGTCATGTTTGTCACAGGCCTGCAATGAACTGGGTCAGATCTGGATGGAGTCGGGGGTGAGTGAGAACGCCGTGTCGGGACACATCCAGCTCATCATCCCTGGAGAGACGGCGTGTTTCGCTGTAAGTCTTAACACACTCACACACGCTTTCATTACATTGCTGTTTTTCTTCAGCGAGAAAAAGCATGGTAGTACTCACGGTGTAATACAGTATCTTCTCCTCCTTTGTTAGTGCGCCCCTCCTCTGATTGTGGCCGCAAACATCGATGAGAAGACCCTAAAGAGAGATGGTGTGTGTGCCGCCAGCTTACCCACAACCATGGGTGTGGTCGCAGGCATCCTGGTGCAAAATGTCCTCAAGTAAGATATTTTGTTGGCCTTTTGAAACCTGAAATCCAAAGTGTAGTAATCCAAACAAAGTGCAGCGAGGGACTAAACAAGAGAAAAACATTGTCTGTGTAGAAAGCAGTCTTTCCACTGGTATGCGTTTGACCTTTTATTTGCAAACATACAATTCTTTCTAGTCCATATCCAGTATGTGATTGCGTATGCTGTCAACAAAAAGTGTCCTTCCCCAGCTCACTCCCCCTCCATCTATGACAAAGTGCACAAGTAAAAGCAACCGGATATAACCTCACCACACAAATCCAATAGACACGCCCACCGCCGACTAAAGAATGTGACGTAGCAGCAAACACAGAAAACACTTGACACGTGGCTCCTCCTACACTTAGGTTTGTCCGTATGTGTTAAGTTACGTTTTTGTTTTCAGGTATCTGTTGAAGTTTGGGACCGTCAGTCATTATCTCGGCTACAACGCCATGAAGGACTTCTTCCCCACCATGGCCATGAAAGCCAACCCTCAGTGTAACGACCGCTACTGCAGGATACAACAGGAGGAGTACAAGGTGGGGGTCTGGTGCTTTGTTTTCAAGTATTACAAAGTAGGACCTACCAAACGTTACATTGCACAGTGTTGTACTTGTAAGTAAACAGTGTGTGTGTGGATTCCCCTTTTTAGAAGAAAGAAGCCGAGCGGCCTAAAGTTGAAGTTGTAGAGGAGGAAGAGGAGGAGATCGTACACGAGGACAATGACTGGGGTGAGCAACACATTGCGTTATCAGTGTTAGGTCTGTAACCATTTGGCATTGTGTAAGAACACACACTTCTTGCTGTGCAGGCATTGAAGTAGTGTCAGAGGTGACTGATATGGAGTTAGAGGCGGCATCAGGCGTCGTGCCCCACCTCCCAGAAGGCATCACTGTGGCGTACACCATTCCAGCTGAGGTTAGTATCATGTGANCAGAATATCAGTATGACAATACGACACCCTCTGTCCTTAGACCCTCACATCATTTTTCCCTTTAAACTGTGGGTTTTCTCTGGAAGTTTTTCCTTGTACGATGTGAGGGTCTAAGGACAGAGGGTGTCGTATTGTCATACTGATATTCTGTACAAACTGTGAAGTCCACTGAGACAAATGTAACATTTGTGATATTGGGCTATATAAATAAACATTGATTGATTGATTGACTTCCGTGATTTAAATAGGATGCAATTTATTATTTCTTTTTCGTTTATTAATTATTGGGAATGAGTGTGTTAAGAGGAAGTTAACCTGTGTATGTTTGGGTCGGATAGTTTCCTCATGTTTGAGGGATTACATTTATGTTGACAAGGTGATTTGGAGATAATTGTATAACCTGTTGACGGTAAGAGTGTGGGGAGGGGCTATGGGTACAAAAGGGACGGTGTGGATCCGGGAAGAGTCATTCGGCAGAGTGTTGCAGTGAAGGCAACAGCCAGGATGTGGTTAGAGGGACAGACAACCTAATTTGGTGATCTTTGTTTTTGTTTATTGAAGTTATACTGTTTCTTTTTTTTGTTGAACAGTATATATATATTTTGTGTGCTGCTGAGAATAAAGTTCTTTGGAGCTTAAACAACTGACTAAGCCTATATATTGAAGAACCCCGTCACATATGGTGTCAGAAGTGGGATGGTTAATCGGAAAGGGCTGGGCCGTGGTGCGAAGCAGCGCACAGGACTGCGTTCCCAGCCTCGGCAGCAGGAGGAGAACGCGGCTGCCAAANTATATATATATTTTGTGTGCTGCTGAGAATAAAGTTTTTTGGAGCTTAAACAACTGACTAAGCCTCTATATTGAAGAACCCCGTCAAAACTGCCTAATCCAGGCCACTATTGTTCATTGGAAAAAACTGCTGCTCGTGTCCCAGAGGAAGATCTCACCCTGCGTTGTAGAGAATATCTGTCTCTATCCGAGCGCGTCCTCTCCACGGAGACGTGCTTCTTGGTCGGTCGATGCAATATCCACACCTTCGGTTATTTTCATTTACTTCCCCGTTGCATTTAACCACATATATACATGCTAAGGAAAACTTCAATAACCTGCTGAATACCAGCATTCGCCACACACACCTCCTCCTCCCGTGAGAAGCGACCCCTGGCATCCCGGTGGCGCGCCCACTAAAAGGCCTCTGGGCGCCGCGACAGGTGAATATGCAGATGAGGCTTACAGAACCACACCCTCAAACCGTACATGACAGTGGATATTTAACAACTGCTGTTGCGAGGATAATATACATGGATCGTATTTTAATTTCATTTCAATACAAACCACATGCTTCAACCCTTTTCCCCTGCCACTACAGTTTATAAGAAACACTTAAATCAATGTGCGACCGTCACTGTGGAGCATTCTCTCCAGTAATCCTGATTATCTGGAACCCTAACCAATGTGCTTAATAATACCCAGATCTTCCGGGAGACCAAAGAAAAAGAGATTCAGGATCTCCTGCGGGCCAAAAGGGACTTGGAGGCCAAACTGCAGCAGCTACAGGCTCAGGGAATCCAGATCTATGACTTAAATGATTCTGACTCAGATGACAACCAAACCACTGTCACAGGTAAGATCTAGAAATCCACAATGTTGGGACTTTTAAATGTATCTATAATTCAATCTTAACCCGTACTGGTTTGCCACAAGAATACACAAATGAGTTCTTGTTTTGTGTGATTAAAATCTGTAAAAGCATTGCATTATTTTTCTCTCACTCTGTCTTCAGCTGCAGGGACTCAGTGTGATTACTGGTCTGGTGGGGTGCTGGGAAGTGAGCCCTCTATGGGCAGCATGATGCAGTTACAGCAGACCTTCAGAGGGCCTGAATTTGCCCACAGTTTGATAGATGTGGAGGGACCCTTTGCTAATGTGGGCAGAGGTGAGTCAAATTTAACACATCTGTAGAATTGTTGGCGAAACAAGAAATGAACATAATAAAATAAATGACCTAATTATTTATCAATATTATTATATTTCATGTTCTATTCTCACACCTTTTCCCCTGTGTGTGTCAGATGACTGGGACGCTGCCGTGGCCAGTCTGCTTCAGGTGTCCCCTCACGTGCCCCAGGCCTTATGGAGTAACACCGTGCGCTGCTACCTCATCTTCACCCAGGAGACCAAACCTGAGCTGGATGTCTTTATTAAGGTCGGTTAGATGAGCAATGTGGGTCAAGAAACTATAAACATATTGTTGTTCAGGAGATATTGTTCAACACTTTGGGGCATTTTTGAAAAAATCTAAATGAAAATGGAGTTGCTCTTCTAAGTTTTTTTGCTGAAATAATAATCATTAAGCTTCATTGTGTTTTTAAGTCTTACGTTCCCTTTAATCTGTTTTCAAGAACAAATCGTGGTTGATTGAAGACGTGTCTGAATGCCAGTATTTCAAAAAAGACTATTGTTTCTTTGCTTCCTGTTTTCACAACAGAAACACTCACCTGTGTTACGGAAGATGTGCGAGGGTCTCGGCCATTTCTACCTGAACGTGTGCTTCCCAGAGGAAAACGCTGCCTCCTACGATGTGGAGCGAAAGCAGGAGATTGAAAGGAGCTCTGTGTGTGTGCTTCTAGTCAAATCTACTGTAACCAGGTACAGTGAGTCCTAGAGCAGAGCTTCTCAAACTTGTTTCAGTAGTGTACCCCCTTTGAAACATTTTCTCAGCCAAGCACCCCCTGACCGACCCCGAACATTTTTGATAGAAAAAGCCTATAATAATAATAATTACAATATGTTGATGTTCCATCAGTGTGTGACTTATTAACTCCTTCATGCATGAATTACAACAAACTAAGGATAGTTTCATCTGTATGCGTGAAAAAAAAGAACACAACGAAAACAAATTGAAACAGATTTTTCCAAGGAGTTTTTCAACTGAAGTAATATATGTTTAAAAAACCAGTGAACAAAATGATATGTTATGAAAAACTATAAAATACAATACACACATTTGACATGTTTATATGACGACCCCCTTGGTGGTTCTAGGAA